CATCGACGCAGCTAAGTTAAAAACCTGGAAACACAGCGACACATTTCTATCGTGTCTTTAATTTCACAGCAGTTGTTTCAGGACAGAAGTATTCCTTTAACCGCGCCAAGAGAAATGGCAACGTCTCCCTGAAAGATGTACGCCCGTTGTCCCAGAAAGTTCGCCCCCAAGAAATGTCGTGTTCCAGGAACAGGTACTCGCCACACGTAACAGCCTCTGTGTAAAATTCATCCGGAGGAGAATATAACCCGTTCTGGGTGAACCAGCACAGAGAAGAATTGTCTGTCCCGAGGAATCGAATCTGAAAGTTGCCTGGTTCAGTTGTCTTCCATTCTACGAAACATATACAGGGTGTTTCTTAAACATTTCTCAGTATTTCACAAGAAAACTGGAAAGTAAATGTCATACTTGCATAAGCTGAGCCTGGATTTTCTATTTGGATTATGATGAATTGAGAAAGTATCGGTTACTAAATTTACAGTTCTACATTTAACGCGAGTAGTGTAACCAAAATGATGGACCTAATCGTTTGGCAGATGAGTAGTAAAAATAGTAAAAAAAAATTACGGTTAATGACAATCTTTCCCTTTCGTGAACAACCGAAATTCTAATCACAGAAAGTTAAATTTCCACAAATTTTTATAATTCACGAAGTTTAAGCACGATCTATCTTTATTCACACGATATCTTTTCTTATTCACCTTTCATATATTCACAGTCTGAATCACTGAATTTATAAATGAAAGTTATTCTATACACAGAAACATATATAGATATGAAATCATATAAGAAATTAAAGTTTCGCTGGGACACTTTGATCTTCCCTCTCTAATGATTCGCGTCTGGCAAGCAAGATAAATGGACATCAAAGGAATACAGGAAGTTTGCTCATCCTCGTCGTCGTTGCAGAGAAACGAGACGATTCATTTCTAGGTAGCCACTCTGGCATACAAACACGAACGCGTATCATTGTTTTTTTCCTTGGTAGCTCCGTGACAGAATCCTTTGCAGCCGAGTCCTCATGCCGGATAAATGGAACAAGCTCTTCCACCCACTCTTTTCTATTTTCTTTGTTATCATACAATCTCTCTGGCCTCTGTTTTTCTTTATTGAGCATCGAGAGGAACGTAGCTTTTAACATGGCTCTCTTACCAGTGAAGAAACGTTTCGACATAGCAGCGGTTTATAAACTGGAATCGACAGATCCTCGTTTTACTCTCGCGTTCACGATTTACTGGCTACAATGCTCAACC